ATCCGTATTTTGATAGGGGCTCCACACACAGTGGTCCTCCTGGTCAGCCTCGTAATTCTGCCAAGGTGACAGGGTCATGCCGCCACGCCCGGCTTCCTCGGGGGCTCTGGGAGCCAACTGGAAGTGCTGTGTGGACCCGCCTTCCACAGCGGCACCCCACCTCCCGTGCACCACGAAGGCTGGGCCAGCCCTTTATTCATTTTCGTCTTGGCTTTCAACACACAGAGGCTTTCGCATTTGTACGTGATGTAGGCAGAAAATTATTTCCTCTTGCCCTTTCCGTCAGAGAAGCAGCCTCTGACATCTTTTTCACACTTTAATCCACTCGTGTTACCTGTGACACGCACATACTCTCTGCTCTGCAGAGTCACACACACACTTATGGCTGACGTCGTGCGGTACAGCTGGAGTCCGGCTTTCAGTGAGAGCACAGGTGAGCCCAGCAGAGCGTTCTGAGTGCGCTAGAGGAGCACATCTCAGAGCGGTTTAGCAGGTGTGGTCTGCGAACACAAAGCAGAACTTCAAAGGCGTTCCAAAACGCAAGGCAATTATCATATGTGAGACGCCGTGCAGGTCCATGGTGTAAAAAGACCAGTCACTCTGGACGGCAGAGGGAGACTCAGATTGCCCCAGATCAGGCCCGACTCACAGGTACCAAGACGCCGAGGAAGCAGGGGTGCAGCTGGTGGCCAGACGCCCTGCCTTCCTGACAAGTGAGCAGGCTTTCTAGGTCAAGCTGCATACTACTTCTGTAACGAAGGGTAATGATTCGTTAGCCTAAAGAAGGCCCTGTACCTTGAAGACAGGGCTGGTACAGAGGAGAGGAGACTGGGGCAGGAGAATGGAAACATGCTCTCTGAAATTTACAATCATTTACATTTATTCATGGCTGCTTACGGTTCTAATTACGGCACAGCATCTCAAACTGATGAAGCGCCCGACAGCAGGGAGCAGAAAGGCCACGAGATAATGTATTAATTCCCTTTCCGTCTACGGGGTAGTGTCTCTCCGATAAACTGTGACCCGGAGTAAACGTGATAAACATGTACGGAGGGCCTACTAGGTGCTTAACACGTTCGCAAAGGAGCTTTAAAAAGCAGCGAGTTAAGGGAGTAGAAAGACGGAGAAATGGAACCGGGGATAAAATGATTAACGCACAGCGCTCTGAAGGAGGGGAGGGAGAAAAGGTTTATACTTAGAAAATGAAAACTTAGGACATAAAATCAAAGTAGCGCCACAGGTGCTGAAATCCTACCCGAGAACCACCCGAGCTGTGAGACGGGAACTGGCCAGCGTTGAAAGGCTGAGCTTTTCCAGGGCAGCAGGACCAACGTGGAAAAAGTAGTTTTACCACCACAGATATGAATGGTCAGTCTATTCCTGAACTCCGGGGAAGACGTGGGAAAAGGGAATGTTGAGGAGCCGGTGGTATAATTATTCAGTTTAATTAACAAAAGTAAATACGGTGGCTAACCCTTGTATTACATTAAAAATAGATACCACATGCCACCTTAGCCGGATTCTCGGTGATGCTATTAATATGCCAAAAGCTCCGTGATGTAACAAGACATTTTAGATCAATCGTTTCTACCTTTACAAAAACCCTTTTAAGAGGTATTTGCATTTTTAATTAGCTATCTGATGCGTGTCCTCACCAGAGAGAGAGACAGAGAAAGAGACAGAGGGAAAGTGAGAAGGCCCTTCCCAAGGGGAAGGCGGCCGTGATCCCTTCTCCACTCATCTCCTCTGGGGGTTCGGATTTCCATTTGTGACACTCCGCACAGCTCCACCACGTGTGTTCTTCAAGCTGCAGGTCTGGGACTTGAACCCTGCAGTCGGCCCTGTGGGACCCTTTCACCTTACCCACCATGCCATGGGCTGGCCCAATATTTTAACCGCTTTTAACCCCTCTTTGTGGATGAGGAAACGAAGGTTCAGGAAGTTGTCAAGAGCAAAGAAGAGTATCCATCAGGAAACACACCTCCCTGGATAACAGGGAAGGCTAGTGGCACTGCGGGGGCCATGATGGCTGAAGACGCAGGGCAAAGCGGCCTGAAGCGAGAAGGCTGGATAGACATGTGCCCTTCTGTCCTTCCTCTGGCCGTCGGTGTCTGTGTCTCAAGCCTCGTTGTTCTAGAGTGAAGGACAACTGGGGGCATGGCGGTGCCTCTCAGGAAGCCCTGGGCCTTGTGGACACCCTCACCAAGCCCCAGTGCCACCTAGAGGCAGCTCCTCGACCGTGCAGGCACTGAGCCCCTGAACCCAGCATGTGCGGCAGAGGCAGGTTCCCTCCTGAGGGCATTAATGGACGTGCAGTCCCTGCGGCTGCCCAGAGCCCAGAGCCCGGCGCTGAGGACTCGGCGACAGGCCCGTGCTTCCCAGGGAAGGACACTGTGACTGACTGGAAAGCACGGGCTGGAGCCGTGCATCATTTCCCGAAAACGACGTCGACGTCTCGGGCAGCAATCCACAGCTCCCCGCTACGACCTGTGCAGGCAGTGCAGCCTCCTGCGAAGGTTCGGTGACGCGGAAGTCACTGAGAGCCGTCAGGGAAGAGATACGGCCGGTGACTATAAAGAGATGTCTATTTCTACTCACATACTTGCCGAAGATGGACACACTAATTGTTCTGAGACTAACTAACACTTTC